TGACCCCATGGACCAGAGCACGCCAGGCACTCCTGTCTTCCACTGCCTCCCGCAGTTTAGTCAAACTCATGTTTGTAGCTTCGAGAACACTATCCAACCATCTCGTCCTCTGTCGTCCCCTTCTCCTTGTGCCCTCCATCTTTCCCAACATCAGGGTCTTTTCCAGGGAGTCTTCTCTTCTCATGAGGTGGCCAAAGTATTGGAGCCTCAGCTTCACGATCTGTCCTTCCAGTGAGCACTCAGGGCTGATTTCCTTCAGAATGGAGAGGTTTGATCTTCTTGCAGTCCATGGGACTCTCAAGAGTCTCCTCCAGCACCAGAATTCAAAAGCACCAATTCTTCGGCGATCAGCCTTCTTTATGGTCCAGCTCTCACTTCCATACATCACTACTGGGAAAACCATAGCTTTTACTATACGGACCTTTGTCGGCAAGGTGATGTCTATGCTTTTTAAGATGCTGTCTAGGTTTGTCATTGCTTTTCTCCGAAGAAGCAGGCGTCTTTTAATTTCGTGGCTGCTGTCACCATCTGCAGTGATCATGGAGCCCAAGAAAGTAAAATCTCTCACTGCCTCCATTTCTTCCCCTTCTATTTGCCAGGAGGTGATGGGACCAGTGCACATGATCTTCGTTTTTTTGATGTTGAGCTTCAAACCATATTTTGCGCTCTCCTCTTTCACCCTACACTCTACCTGAAATGTCTGGGGACAGGCTGTTAAGTTTGGGGACTTAACAGCCACAAGAAACCTTATCCTGTGAACCTTCAAAAGGCCAATGGATCACCTGTTGAAGACAACAAGAACACCAGGCTTTGCGTGGTACTTGCAAACCCCAATACCAGCTTATCCAATGGACAAACTGGTCCTACTGTGCTCTGTGTGAACATCATTTTCTTTTGACTGATGCTTCCAACACTAGGACAGTCCCTGAGTATCACTTCTACTGTCTGTCTAATTCAGTATTCTGCATCTTAACAATGGCAAGCCTGTTCAGAACACAAGGAAGGATATAAATGAGTTCATTCATCTCCCTGTTCTTTTCTCCCGGCTTTTCATGGCTTTGGAGATGCTCTGAGCCTGTGTTTCTGCTTCCAGACTATTGTGGCCAATCGGCAGTAGTTACTGATATTTTACCTCCTTCATTAGGTAACTTAATTAGATTCTAAACACATTTCTTTGAATAATAGATGGATGGAAATGATGTTTGTTAGCTAGGGACCTGAGCTGCATTCAAAGGAGTAGAAGCTCCATGCTCCATTATAAAACCTCTGAGCCATTCATTTACCTGCAGATACTCCTAATTTATTATGTATGCTAAAAACTCAGCAGGTGGTGGCTATTGGAAGCAAAGCTCCTGGGAACACTTGCTAATATTCTCAGGGTAGGGTGGGGACGGCTATAATGATAGAAAAGTGCTTCCTAAATTATCATTAAATTGAACAGCATGCTGCGCCACAAGCGTAACTAAAGTAAGTACTAACAGGTATACTGGAACTGATGCTTGTAATTGGACATGTGCCCCTCCAAAATCAAAGGAGAAGTGCACAAAATTCAGTGGCTGAAGTTGCTTTAAGCAAACAAACATCCATTTTATCGACGTTTGTTTTAAAGTATAGCAAAACAACATTAAGAAATGTAGCTGAAGCATGGAGAAGAAAAGCAGGTACAGTACTTAAATCACTTAACTGGCTAGAAAATTCTGAAAAACAACATAAGGAATAGAGGGGGGACTAGCTGAAGAATTTTAAGAAATATTAAGCCTAGTTGAAAATCCAGCTGATGACTGAGGATAAAAGAAGCCACTTTTGCCTGCATTAAAAAAACAACAAATTACCGTTGCACCCACAGGAGTGACATACCGTAATTGGAATTAACCTCACTCTCTCACTGAAGGCAGAGTCAAAATTAGTGGGAGGTTCCCTCCCCTTCAGGCTCAACAACAATTCCAGCTTGTTCTTGTTTGACCTTACCTTCCAAACCAGAGGAGGAGTCAAACCTTTAAGAAGCCACATGATCATGGGTAAGCTGCCTCCCATTCAATATGCAATGGTAGGTCCTTCCTCTGACCCATCAATTTCCCCCTCAACAGGCCCTATAACTTCTTCCAATTTTTGGAATATTCCCACATTCAGACTCTCAACTTTCCTGAATACCTGAAGCTTTCCCTTACATCACTGGTTCCCAAACTCCCCACCACCACCACCACCAATGGACCAGTTGAAATTTTTTGAGTGTCTTGGAGGACCACCTAAGGATTTTTCTGCCGGTTGTAGCAATGGTAATGCACTGTGTCACATGTATGATTTTTAAAATTGTATTTTAAAATACCACCCACATGAATCATAGAATCATAGAATTGTAGAGTTGGAAGGGACCCTGAGGATCATCTAACTGAACCCCTTTGGGAACCCTGCCTGACATCATGTGTGTGAGTATTATGGGGATCTAGATGCTGCTTGTAACTCTTCTGGGCTAGTTAGGATTTAAGATTTTATGTTTATTGTTTTATTTTTATGTAATTGCTGAATGTCATATGCTCCAATGTAAACAAAGATATATATCAATGCAACTGTGTTAAACAGTTAAAGATGAATAAAAACGTTACAAACAACAACAAATAAAAAGGCATTTAAGCCTTTATGCTGTTTTATTTTTGCTTATTACCTGTTTAAACTGGATGCAACTCCTCTTTTCTGATCCTAAATCAATCTTCCTTAATTGGGGTGGACTTTGCACAGGGGAACTGTCCACTCATGTGCTAGGCTGCCTCTTTCACATGCTGCATGCATAGGCTGTGAGCAGCTAAAGAAGGGAGGACTTGTTTTGTGTCTCAGAAAAGAGAGAATTGCTGCTGGCAGATGCTTCCGCCCTCATCTGTCTTCCCCTGGTACTCTCTGTGGGATTTCCTGCTGAGCTTCCCAGGGGGCTATGGCTCAAAGGAAATAGTGGGGACAGAACTACTGACAAATCAGCAACTCCTCACATGCCAGCGTGGTGTAGTGGTTAAGAATGGTGGACTCGTAATCTGGTGAAGCGGGTTCGCGTCTCCGCTCCTCCACCTGCAGCTGCTGGGTGACCTTGGGCCAGTCACACTTCTCTGAAGTCTCTCAGCCTCACTCACCTCACAGAGTGTTTGCTGTGGGGGAGGAAGGGAAAGGAGATTGTGAGCCGCTTTGAGACTCCTTAGCAGGGGTGCCCAAACATTTTTCAAAGAGGGCTGGATTTGATGAAGTGAACATGCGTGAGGGCCGACCAAAGTTGTTGACTTTTTTTTAGGATTGAACTTGTTGAGCTTTTTTTAGGATTTTACCCCAGGAGATAGACTGCCACAGGGGCCTGATTAAACTGACAGGCGGACTGGATTGGGCCCCAAAACGGACTTTGGCTATGCCTGCCTTAAGGGGAGTGAAAGGCAGGATATCAAGTCCACACTCCTCCTCCTCCTCCTCCTCCTCCTCCTCCTCCTCCTCTTCTTCTTCCTGATCTGGCACAATCTCCACACAACACCCAGAAAGCACTTTATACTGAGTCTGCTTTCCATTGGCTATTGCGAGGTTATTAATGTTTCCCTCATAGAAATGAGTCAGTGTCTCCCGCTTCATGATTAAAGCATGGGAACCAAAAGGCAGAGTAGACGGGAAATATGGACCTGGAAATAATGTTAAATATACCTACCTAATGCACTCTTCCTGAACCAAAATTCAGCTATCCTTTGAAATTTGTACTTTTTGGAATTTTGCAATGCATAATCTCCAGCTGAAAACCTCCCAACGCATTAAAGGATATAAGCAATAATTTAGTGAGGCATACAGAACTGCAATTTTGAATGTTGATCAGATGGTGGGGAAGGACCTCAGCTCAGTGGTAGAGCATTTGCCTTGCAAGCAGAAGGTCCCAGGTTCAATCCCTGGTATTTCCAAATAGGCCTGGGAATGCATCCTGTCTGAAACCCTGGAGAGCTACTACCAATTAGAATAGACAGTACTGGACTATATGGTCTGACTCAGTATGCATAGTATCATAAAACAGCAGAGTTGGAAGGGAACTAAAGAGCCATCTAGTCCAACATCTTGCAATGCAGGAATCACGGTTAATTCCTATCCATATATTCATACTGACATACATGCATGTGTGAAAGTCTGCTTCTGTGGGCAGAATTCCTTTGCTGTGTTGGGGTGTCTGTTTATAACCCTTCACATAGTTAGGCAAGTGAAATTCCAGTGGACTCAAGGGGATTTTAGCAGGCTAACTTTGTCCAAGATTACTGTCATTGCCGGTTGATGTGCTACAGATTAGAAATGGAAGAGGGAGTTCAAGGCTGCTCTTGCAAACTGATGAAGTGCAAGCAGAAAGGAGTAAATAGCAAAGTGATTACGGGCAACACGGGAGAAATAAAGTCTGAATGAGACCAGACCTTGCATAACATAAATCAACCAACAAAATAATAGAGCATATGTGTTAAGTTGTCGGTAAACATATCAAACGACACAGTGATTCTTCAAACAGCTCTTGTTTATTCACAGGCCAGAACAGAACTGAACTGAAGGGTTCAGCCAGCCTGCTTATATAGAGCTCCAGTACAACGCAACTGTAACAACTTTCTGTAACTATCCAATCACTGAACGTCACTTTCAATCCCTTATTTGCATATGTGGACCTGAGTGAAAACTATCTACAGTATCCCCCTGCTGGCCCAGGGTGAGAACTTCAGTACATAACAACATGGGTGGAAATGGAGGCTAGTCATAGGCAGATCATGGAGGAGGAGCACTCAGAAGATGGTACAACATGTTTGCCAGCCATCCCTTATGGTTGGGAGAGCAAGACAGGATACTTGACTTTTTCCACTCTTGCATGTGCATCTCCATTCTTGTTCCCCATTCTCACATTTGCCTGGGCTACGGTGGTTGGTTCATTTAGCGTTTGACTGTACAACAACTCTTTCTATCTGGGTCCTCCCACTAGTGGATCCCTTCCAATTAGACTGTTGTCTCTGCTCTTTCCTCAGCTGATACAACAGGAACATTTATATACTCTCTCTCTCTCTCTCTCTCTGTGTGTGTGTGTGTGTGTGTGTGTGAGAGAGAGAGAGAGAGAGAGAGAGAGAGAGAGAGAGAGTCCTCTTAATAGACTCCACATAGCCCTGAGGGAAGTATGCCTCCGTCTTTGACCTTGTGTAGAACTGACTGCATAGCATCGTAGTGCCTTGTCACTCAGCTGAGATAATAAGCCTGTTCTCAAAGGTTCAAGGTCAACATTCTAACCACATGCTAAGGGGATTGAATCAAGGCCTCCAGCAGATTGTCTCCAGCACTTCACCTCTTCCACTCCCACGATTCTGGACTTTCAGACAAGGTCTTGAGGGGAACAGTGCCCTCAAGGCTGCAGTCGGATAATCAGCTTTCTAACCCATTTGAGACACAACAGGCCCTATAAAGCCCTTGCAGCCAAGCCAGCTTACCAGCTTGACCAATTTGTCTTGAGTATGAAGGTTTTCCTCTTCAGCCTGCTCTTGCTGTCTTGGAGCGTAACCTGTATAACTCTGACTACATTGCTCCTGGCCCTTTGCTCTTTGTCTGCCCGATCTGAAGCTCATCTATGACCATCTCTGTTGCTTCTGGCCCTTGGCTCCTTGCCTGCCAGATCAGTTACCTGATCTTGATTTTGACAATGCTTATTGCTCTTCAGATCATCACCTGCTTGCACTCAAATAGGAGTGCAGAGGCAGCCTGTCCTGGAGCTAAAACCAAGGCCTGACTGGAGATTTCAGAATTACATTTCCAGGAATCCATACACAGGGACACAGGGATTCATTACCCCATAATGGCTTTTTGCTACTGTTATAAAATCAGTATTTTAAAAAACGTATACTCCCCCCCCCCAAATAGAATACATAGGTGAGGGTGCTTGGTTGCATATGTGACTTGAGTATGAAATCAAGTGACAGTTATTCTGGCAAACAAAGGTGTAATTTTTGTGCATGTGGCATAACAGTACACCCATTTCTGTTGCTGAAGCTAAGGAAGTTGAGTCCCATAAATTGTCAGGATGGGAGATTTGCCTGGGGTTAAGCTGCTTTGACTGCTGCTGGGCAACAAACTGAAACTATCATGGGGACAAACAAAAGAGGACACCTTCACCCTTGTTTCCCTTCATTATATACACAGCCCAACAACAACAAGAACCCACCAACAGCATTTGAATTGATATGGCTAATTTAGACCCTCCAATTGCCCCTATTTTCCAGGGACATCCCTGATTTAGAGAAGCTGTCCTGGTTTCTGATTTGATCCCAGAATGTCCCGCTTTTCATTGGGATGTTCCTATTTGCATTGGAGAAATGCTGGAGGGTATGGAGTTATCCAACCCGAGCCGTCTGAAGGCAATCCTATATAGGGAAGATTTTTTTTTTTTATGTTAATGTTTTATTCTGTTTTTATATATGTTGGAAGCTGCCCAGAGTGCTGGGGCAATCCAATAAGATGTGTGGGATATAAATAGTAAAATTATCATTATGGAATGGGACATGCCTATTTCATCGGAGAAAAGTTGGAGGGTATAGCTAACTTGACATAAGAACCCCTCTGCCTCACACAGGCAAACAAAACTCATTGCAGCCAACTGAAGTCAACCAGCCATGCTCTGGGGTCACCAACCTCTCTCACCACCAAGGAAAACTAATAAATGAATAGAAATAGAACCTACACTGACTCAAAAACCTGACACTACTACACTATGTAAAAGAATGAAAGTTTTCTATCTCCTTTTCTCTCTCCCCACCTCTCTTCTTCCCCAACCTTATATTGTCTATTGTCTACATTAGCGACTCACATCCAATATAACTGATCTGTTGAATGGACTTTACGATCTGAAAATAGAGACGCTGTATGTACTGTTATAACCCAAGAAAATATGTAATAAAAACATTTTTTTAAAAGTTATTCTCCTCCCCTCCCCTCTTCCCACATCTCTCTTTCTCTCTGTGTGTGTGTCTATCGATAAAAGAAATCACATCCAAAAATTACTAAAGTGGAGAGAAAACTTTGATCAAAATCTCATCTCATGCCTACCTTACTTCTGGGGAGTCTGAAAGGTGTTCGCAAGCGTCCTTCCTTGCATTTTGCAAATCATCTCACCAGTGGTCTACACTCTAGAGCCTTCCGGGGGGCTTGTGCTTCAATTAATACCTGGGTGAATATATCATAAGATAGTTCCTCAAGTGGAACTTTTTCAAACCAGGAAGCATGGGCAGCCAAGGAGGCCACAAGGATTTTTATTAATATTTTTTAACTGCAAAGAAAAAAATTACCCACGACCATTACAGAAGGATAAGCTAAGCTCAAACTTCTGCACTCAGTACAATTCTGAAGACATTCTAAAGTGCTCTGAGAATGTGGCAGGAAAAAAAATAGTATTTTATTCCCCAGGGGGGAAACTTATGAGAAACTGGAGGACAGATTTCAGCACATCACTAGCACCCTTGCAGTAATGCTTGTTAACAAGGGGACCAAAGGAGAGGAATAAAATGTGGGCTTGGCTTTGTGTTTAAATGACCTTCAAGGACACAACAGAAAAAGTGATGTTTATGCTCTAGCCTTTTGCTTTAGCGTACCTCATTGTTCTCCATGTATGGACATATACACAGAAAGAGCACACTGCACAGTTCTTCAGAGCCTTGCTCATATTTACTGGCAACATGTCTATTTGCCTGTATAAATAACCAGATTTATATACAAAATACAAATAGAAATAATCAACAAACATGCAAAACTGGACCAAGACGGGGCTAGTGCCAGACATTAGAGTTGGCCAAGTGTCTGGCTGCTGTGTAAGAGACTTGGATGGAGAAAGCAATTTGCTCTCTTTAGAATGAAAACCTCTGCTTTTTTCCTGAGGCTGCAGACTGAAATGCTTCCAGCAAGCTCAGGTTGAAAACTCCAGGGTACTTCCCCGAAGGCTTCTGAGCAAGCAGTATTATTATTATTATTATTATTATTATTATTATTATTTTGCAAGGAGTATTTTTGTTGAATTTCCAGAAGATATCAAATATTACAGATAAGCGCCTGATGATGCTGTTACACGGAACAAGCAGTATTAAGATGTTTAGGATTAAAATGTCAGCAGCAAACTAGTTAGAAACAGGAGCATTACTGTGGACTTAGGGTACAGGACCTATATTGACCTATGGTTCCCCGAAAAAGTTTCACCATTATCACTCTCTCACCCACCCCCGCAAATTAAGATAGACGGTAGTTTGGTCACCAGCATTGTGGTTGACAGCCAGATGCCCGGTAAGGAAAATGTATTTATTCTTTTATTAAAAAGAGGGAAGGGGCAGCAGGATTAGGGCCCAGAGCAAAAGACCCAGATTGGGGACTGTTAAGAGTTGTCCAGCGGAATCCCTGATCAAGACCTTGTGTGGGAATGAATTCTCTCCACCACAAGAATGTGCTTCAAAGCTTTACTGCAGAACAACTTTAAATACTAGTTACAATAAGATAAATGTTACAAGTAATACATTGCAAGCAAGCAAGCAATGGGGTTCAGTCCTTTGTTCAGTAAACTCTCCTCTCTCTGGTCCCAGAGGGAGAACCTAAGCTTGTTCATAATTGTAGAACTTCTCTGCTGCTGCTTTTAGCCATCCCCAACCAAGCAACTCCCATAGCCCCAGCCAGCATGGCCCGTGGTCAGGGATGATAGGAGTTGGAGTCCAAAAGTATATGCAAGGCAGCATGTCAGCTGCCTTAGCAACACCCCTGGTCACAAACATAATATATGAATTCAAAGACGATGTCAAGAGAACAGAGCTTGTACCCTGACCTCCCCCACCTTTCTAAATTGTTTTCTTTGGCTCTGATGCTTTGTTTTGTGTGTGTGTTCATCAGACTTCTCAGAGAGTGTTTTATCATCATCAGGGGATTAGTAAGGTGACAGCACAGGCTTCAGAGTTGTAGCAATGATTACAAAACACTCCTCCCAAAATGTGCGCGCTCTCTCTCTTTTATTTAAACCTCCTTTCCTTCAAACTGAGGACAAACATGTATACTATGTGCAAGCTCTGTGCTTATCTGCCAGGCATTTAGGGGGCACAGGGTCTTAGGGGGAGAGCTTATGGGAGAGCTGGGAAATCCTTGCCTCAGACCCACGGATAATCAACCTCATCCCCAACACTACTACAACATGGCTGGATAAACACAAGTGCTTTCAAATCCTTATGTCAACTGATTCTCTCTCCCTTGAGAAACAGGGCAGAGGAACTCACTGAAGCTTAAAGTGGTTGGGTCTGGCCTGGCTGTTCCTTTTCTCCTTGCAACCATTTGGGTAGAATCACATATTCCCTTTCTATAGCCAACAATGGACATATATAAGAGAAGTCCCCCACATCCCATGGAGAGCTTCTGCCAGTCAGTGCACACAACATTGAGCTAGATGGGCCAATGGTCTAACTCTGTGTAAGGTAGGGACAGGGGGAGACCAGTGGCCAAGTGGAGTGATGGGAGACCTCCCTCTTGCTGAAAGTTGGTTAGAAGGTGGTGTTCCAGAGACCAGCAGAACACTGTGCTGCTCTGCGACCACTGTCTCCCTTACCTGGGTTGCTTCTCCGCTGGTGGCAGAAGTGGTGGGGTGGGTTTCATCTGCCTAAGGTGGCTTCTTCACTGCTGGCTTCACCCCACAACATGAGTGGGCTGGCTCTGTATCACACATTGACCCCTTCAGCCGTGAAGTTCTGTGTTTGATATGAGCTTACCTGCACAGCGGAAAAACATGGCTACAGTGAGGTGGGTGGGGGCATGTAAAGAACCTGCCTTTTCTTCAGTTTCTTAAATTGTCTCCCCACATCTTCCATTTTCAGTGGAATAGTAAAACATTCAGAATGGTACAAAGGCAAAGCAATTCCCTCTGCTTTATAAATTGCATCCTCCAAGGTACTTACTATATTTTCTGAAAGTTTATTTTTATCTTGTGTTTATGCTTCTTTTAATCAACGATGTACAGTAGCCAAATATATGGCTGATTATATCCAATCAAAATGTAAATATTTCATGTGGTTTTCTGGCCTCTTGGCCCCATGACTCACATTTCTATTGGCTCTCCAAGCTCCCTTGATTGTTGACCTCTTCACCAACAGTATA